AGACTTTCTCCCCCCTGAACCTCCCAAACCTGACGGGCAACCAGGAGCTCCTGAACAGCTGCCTGGTGGTCTCATCGATGAACTGCCTCTTCCTGCTGTTCAAGGGGAGGAGGCAGAGCCCCGTGGAGGCCTCAGTGATGCACTTCTCCTTCAGCTGCAGGTAGGTCAGGTTCTCGTGGGTGTTGGGGTCGAAGAAGCCCTTGGTGTCATCACTGGGGTCAGAGAGGATTAAGTTCATCTTCTTGTCGAAGTAGCCACGTTTGTAAGCCACCTCCACGGGGATGCGGTGGCTGTTGACTGGGTCGATGATGCCACCGGTGGCGATCTGCGCCTCCAGCAGGCGAATCCCGTGGTCCTTGACAATCAGCTCCTTCTGCATGGCCTGGAAGAGGGAGATCTTGCCCCCTGAGTAAGGATCTCTGTAGCCAGTGACTGATTTCTCAGCAGCCAAGAGTTTGTCGTAGACATCGGGGCCGATGACGTTCGCTCGTAGAGCTTCGTCCACGGAGTATCTCCTGTTGGCAGCAGGGTCAATGACAAACCCCGTGGCAGCTTGGGCCTCCAGGAGGATCAGAGAAGTCCCAGGCCTCAGAAGTCCTTTCCTCTTTGCCTGGTAGATGCTGATCTTCTCCTGGGAGTCAGGGAGTAGCAGCCCAGCGATGCTCCCCGTGCCCTGCAGGTACTTCCTCACCGTGTCCATGCTGACGACCTCCTTGGCTGACGTTTCTCCCTCCTTGAGCTTCTTGAACAAGTCTTGGTTGATGATTTCTGAGCTTAGGAGCTGGTCAGCTGTCACACGCTCCCTCAGGCCCTCGAAGGTGACGTTGGCAGTGGCAGCAGCTTCCTCAGCAGCAGCTCTGATGGCCTCACCCAGTCCTTGTGTGGAGAGTGTTCCCTCCAGGTACTGCTGAGCGAGCAAAGCTCTTTGCTCGCCCTGGATGTAGTCAGAGAAGAGAAGCTTCCAGAGAGACACCGACTTGCCCTTGAATTTCCCCAAGGCCATGGGGATCTGTGTGTTCTCCAGAGCTGTTTGGGCCCTGTGGTCAAAGAAGAGGTGAGTTCCATGAGCTGCTTCCAGCGGCAGCAGGAGGAGCCCCGTGGTGGGATCAGTCACACAACGCTTGAGCAGCTCCGTGTAGCTCAGCTTCTCCTTGGAGCTGGGGTCGAAGAAGCCTTTCACATCCCCAGTGGGGCTGGAGAGGAGCTGCCTGGTGGCCTCATCCAGGTACCCCCAGGCACAGGCTGTCTCTGAGGGCACACGGAGGTGTCTCCCTGGAGCAATCACCCCTCCCGTGGCCACCTGAGCCTCCAGAAGGCACAGCCCATGGTCCCTGGGCACAAAGCCCTTCCTGATGGCTTGGAACAGAGACAGCAGCTCCCCTGTGTAAGGGTCCCTGTAGCCAGTGATGGTTTTCTCAGCTGAAGACAGTTTCTCATGGAGCTCTGGGCCCACGAGCCCAACCCTGACAGCCTCATCCACTGAGTAGCTCTTGTTCTTCAGAGGGTCTGTCAGGCTGCCCGTGGAGGCCTGGACCTGCAGGAGCATCAGAGCAGCCCCAGGCAGGAGGAGATGTTCTCTCAGAGCCTGGTAAAGGCTCTTCTGCTCCCCAGAAGGTAAGACAACCCCAGCCACACTCCTCGTCCCTCGCAGGAACTGCTGAACAGTGTCGTTCTCTGCCACCTCCTGGGGAGAGATGCTTCCCTCCTCGAGGCCTTGGAACACCTCAATGCTGATGATGCCAGAGTCCAGCAGGTCCCTGCTGCTCACCCTCCCTCCCAGCCCTGGGAAGGTGATCTGCAGGGGCAAGAGGAGGAAGCCTGAGGTTGGATCCACCACACATCTCTTCCTGAGCTCCATATAAGTGACCTTCTCCATGGTGCTGGGGTCGAGGAAACCTTTGCTGTCCTCGTCGCTGGGGTCAGAGAGGACCTGGCTCATCTCCTCATCCAAATATCCCTTCTCACAGGCCACATCCACCGGGATCCGACCACCCGTGGTTGGGTCGATGACACCTCCGGTTGCCACCTGGACCTGGAGCAGCCTAAGGCCCTGTTCCCTCCCCACCAGCTCCTTCTGCATTGCCTGGTAGAGAGGGATCTTCTCATCTGAGTAGGGGTCCACAAAGCCAGTAGCAGCTCTCTCTGCAGAGAGAAGTCTCTCCTTCAGCTCCAGCCCCACCAACCCCAACCTCACAGCGTCGGCCACGGACACTCTCCTGGTGGTCACTGGGTCAGTGATGTACCCTGTGGCTGCCTGGGCCTCCAGGAGGGTCAGGGCTGCCTCCAGGCTCAGGAGATGCTCCCTGGTGGCCTCATAGAAGCTCATGATCTTCTTGGAAGCCTCTACATAGACTCCAGCAATGCTTCCAGCTGCCTTGGAGGGAGCAGCCAGTGCCACCACGTCCCCACCAGCTGCTCCTTGCTGCTTGTGTGGCATCACCTCCTGGCATGACTTGTTTGTTCTTGGCATGTCCTCCCTGGGGACAGCGTGGCCGTTCACTACTGCCTTCCCCTCCATCCTCCTGCTGCTCTCAGGGCTCTCTGCGGAGAGGGAGAGAAGGGAAGGCTCAGTGAGAAATCAACTCCTCTCTGTGGTTCCATGGTAAATGTGAGGAGATCAGAACTATAAACACCCCCAGGCAGGAGGAAGGGACAGACAGAGGCTGAGCAGGTTGGGGCAGCACCAACATTTCCATGGAACTGAGGACATGGACCTGTTGGAGCAAGTGCAGAGGAAGCCACAAAGCTGCTAAGAGGATTAGAGCAACTTCCCTGTGAGTTAGGGCTGTTCAGACTGGAGAAGAGAAGGTGTGGAGCCCACAGAGCAACCTCTCAATGTCTGAAGGGGCTCCAGGGAAGCTGCAGAGGGACTTGGTTAGGAGGGGACAGAAC